CTCTCTCTCTCTCTCTCTCTCTCTCTCTCTCTCTCTCTCTCTCTCTCTCTCTCTCTCTCTCTCTCTCTCTCTCTCTCTCTCTCTCTTTCCGCGCCTTAACTTCTCTTTGCTTTTCTAGTGGCGGCGGGAAGAAACCCCGCTCATAATCTAGCATTTTCTTTCTTTCAATGGCTCCCATTCCTTGCACAAGTGTGAAGATTAGTGAGTTCTGTTTGAGGTCAAGTGAGATCCTAACAGAGGAAAAGAGTCGGAAAATAATAAACACATGATGGAGAAAAAACCCTTGCGGGGTTCAGAATGAACATCCAGATGGCATCCACACTCACGTCCGGCGTAACCATGGAAAATATATAATTTTCAATTCAGACCCGAGCACCATCTGGGCACTTGTATCCTGGCACAGACATCGACGTTGTTTGCATGCTGCCGGGATGGTCAGATTGAGGTAATAGTTTACTAAAACGATGTCTCCGGGGGGCATCATCTTTTTGCAGGAAGAGAGCGAGAAAATGCTGGAGAGACGGCTTGCGGTGATGGCAGCGACAAGAGCCACACAAGATCAGAGTCCCCTTTGGGGAAGAGCTACAGCTATCAGGAACTTAGACAACGGAGGGGGAGACAATGGAGCACAGGTGGGAAGTCATCACAGAGTTATATATTGCCAAAGTCAGCTGTCACTGGAGGGCTATCTGATACAACTAAGCCGGCAAGTGTTTCCCCTCGACTGAAGAAAAGAGAGGAAGTGGCTCTCAAAAGAACAGAGTGGTTGCAATTTTTTTTGGATCGTGTCGCTCTTCGACTACATGACAGCGAACTGGGAGAACCTGAGGAGCTGAATGTGAAGGATAAGAAGCATCAGATGTCACATGCCCGAAACTGCACACCTGCCAATAAGGCACAGGAGCATGTCACGCTCACTACAATTCATCAGGTTAAGTGCTTAAATCCTGCTAGCTCCTCTGTATCAGCACCATAACAGGCCCCTAACTACAGCTCTTTCTACCAGCTGGTAGGTTTTCAGTTATCCAAACAGTCTGCAGACCACTTCTTGCCTCAGTTTCTCTTGCTGCGCATGTCATGGCCTTGTCTTCCCCTTCCGCCGCTCTCTCTCTGTCTCTCTCTCTCTCTCTCTCTCTCTCTCTC